CCTAGAGATATTGCAGAAAATAGGAAATCTGGCGGCCATTTTGTTTTTTTGCAAATTAGACCGTTAAAAACGCAAAATTTTGCTTGGGAACCGGGTAAATCGGATTCAGCATCCCAAAATTATGCTAATAAGCCTGGTTCCCAACTTTTACCCCAAAATGCCCCTACTATTCATCATTTGTGGAAATCCCACTAGACTATATAAACAAATTGCTTTGGTATTTTCCTGATAAAAGCAACCCCTGTATTTATTCACTGTCAACAGTTTTCCTACTTGTTGTACACTGTCCAGTCATGACTGGTCACTCCGCAGTGGTCATCCGATATTCGACACTGCCCACAGTCTATGCTGACACAGTAGTCGCAGTACAAATTCTCCGGGTGAAATAGCGTGTTGTTTGGACATATCTGGAAGATATGAATGGAATCATAAAACAAGTGCATCCCTTTGTGTCTTCTTATAGAATTAAAAAAGGAAATAAATCAATAAATGAAGTTAAAGTAATTTGATAAATAAATGAATAGACTCAATGCATAATGTATTTTCTCCCACCTCAGTGTAGAAGACTAGTGACGTGACGTCACTGAGATTAACTTGGCCATTATCAAGTATGTGGCTTGCCTCGCGATTCCTCAACCGGAACTTTGCTCGTATACATGGAACTCATGATCAAAAAAGGCGCAACAAGCAGAATTTATAGATAAATAACAAATGATAGAATGGAGAAATTAATCAATGCATGGATAAATGCATCATTAATGAATTAATATAGCAATAATAACTATATTTCGACCGAAAAGTCTCTGCGTATAATACCCAGTAAAAGTATTCAAAACTTGCTTTGAAATATTTCTATCATACATAACGTCGACTTCGACGATAGAATCAAATTATACAATCGTTGTCCTGTCATTTAGATCATACCGGTATAATGCTTCCATGCACTTTGCCTCCGTTACTTGTGAACTAAAAAAAAAAAAAAAAGATCTGACGGGCCTGGTGACGTCGGCCTCCGTGTTGCTTACCTTGATCTTGATCTTGATGGTCACACATGATGCTATGAACTTAGAGCAGTCCGTCAGGACCACCTTGTGCCTGTTTTCGTGTTCCAGCTCGTCATCTTCCAGGATACAGATGTTTGTGTCAACTGCCAAATTAAAGAGTTACACATATATTATGGTGTATCTCTCTATGTAAAACAGATTGTTGAATCTGATATCAAATGGCGCAAAAATTGTTTATAAAAGTATGTCAAGTTCCATCCTCAGACCCGGACTATAAAAAACACAACACAAAAAGGCTAAATAAATGAATAAATAAATTCAAACAAAAAGGATAATCGGTGCATAAGTATCGTGAAATAGCTTTGATAATTCTTGCAGTGGGAATCTTCGTTCATTTTATCTGAAAGAGTACGGTAGTGTAATTTAAAAAAAAACCTATGTGGACTCTCTCTCTTTGTCAAATAAAGAGTGCAACTTACTAGCGTCTTTTGCATCTTGTGCCGCAACAAAACCTACAAACAATAACCCCACCAGACACCAAAAAGACGGTCGCCATGTTGTCGTGTACTGGTAAGTTCTGAGTTTATCAACTAGCGTCTTGCTGTTCTTGCTCTAGTTGCCACCTTAACATCAAGACGCCCTAGCTTAATGGCATGTTCAGTGTGTTAATGGCAACATTAATGGAAATTGCACCACATTATAACTAAATATTTTACACCTTTGTACATGTGAGCAATTCTGTGATAGGCCTACACATTAAAACATCAGCTCTTGAATTTGCACTAGTGTTGTAAAGATATAAATAATGACAATGAATTACAAAAACTGGCATGATTCATTTAATTATTTAATGATGATTTTAACACTTTGGTGTTTACTTTTCTTTTGAAGTTAAGAACCAAAATTGTAATAAAAAGTCCAGTAAATCGCTCTCTGTAGTTGCAAAGAGAAATGTCTCGAGTATAACATTCCACTATGTGTAGCATTCGTTGATTATGAAAAAGCCTTTGACTCAGTAGAAACCCAGTATATACTGGCATCCCTGCAAGATCTAGGGATCGAAGATGGATACGTAGGCGTCCTCAGAGACATATACACCGATAGCTCTGTAACAGTCAAACTACACAAGACCACCAATAAGATCAGGATCAAGAAAGATGTACGCCAAGGAGATACAATCTCTCCTAAACTGTTCACAGCAGCATTGGAACGTATATTCAGGGATCTAGACTGGCAGGACAAGGGCATAAACATAGACGGTACATGGCTCAATCACCTTAGGTTTGCAGACGACATCATAATAGTAGCAGATGATGCAAAAGACCTCGAAGAAATGCTACAGGCGTTAGCAGATGAAAGCGCAAAAAGTGGGCTAAAGATGAACAGCAGCAAGACAAAGGTGATGTTCGGACCACTAACCACCCCTTGCACAGTGAAGGTCAACACCAAAGAAATAGAAGCAGTAGAAGAGTATATATACCTTGGGCAACGGTTCAGCCTCAGTGATCGAACACTGGAGAAAGAAATCCAACGAAGGATAAAAGCAGGATGGGCAGCATATGGGAAGCACAATGACATCTTCAAGAGCAACCTTCCTACCTGCCTGAAAAAGAAAGTGTTCAATGCTTGTGTGCTGCCGGCAATCACCTATGGTTCAGAGACCTGGGCACTGAATGCCTCCATAGAACACAAGCTACAAGTAGCTCAGAGAAAGATGGAAAGAATTATGTTGAACATCAGTCCAAGAGAGCGGAAAACAAATGTATGGTTACGTGAACAGACCAAAGTTAAGGACGTACAGCTCACAGTTAAAGAAATGAAATGGAGGTGGGCAGGACATGTCAAAAGAATGAAGGACAATAGGTGGGCAATCAGGCTTACAGAATGGACCCCAAGGTATGGACAAAGAAAAAGAGGGAGGCCGGTCAAACGATGGAGGGGTGAATTAGATGACTACTGGAAGTCTTGGAAGAAGAAACCTTGGCCAAACTGGAACTCTGAGGCTCAGGATAGGAAACAATGGAAAAAGCATGCTGAGGCCTTTGTCCAACAGTGGAACACTATAGGCTCTAAATGATGATGATGATGAATGATGAGTTGCAACACACACAGGTTACGTCACCAGACGCACGCGTCTCTCTCGTTGCAAAAATTTAAAGCAAATGAAGAGGTTCTTGCAAATTTCCTCAAACTTTTAATTTGCCTGCGAATGTGCCACAAATTTGCAGCAACCGTAATTCTTCTTGCAAAGAAGGTATTAAGCGTTCATCTCTCGATTTGAAAGCAAAGTATTTGTCATATCTCTTTCAACAAGTCTACATTGTCAGTCTATATCATTTACATAAACTTATTGAGATTTGGCTGACAATTTCTTGGAAAAAGTTTTCCATTTGTTTCTTGCTCTATCACTCTATGCCGGTAGAATATACGGGTTGTTTCAAACTTTTTTCTGTCAGCAGTCTGTGATTGAGAACAATCACAATCGCAAAGGTTAATTATTACAGCCCTGACACCACGTGATGGAGGTTAACAAATAAGATTTGATGAACTTCCACAGGATTTAATTGCAAGCATATATTACATCATGCATATTTTGCCTCTATTATTTATCTTAATAATATCATTCGTAAATTCTGTTTTAATATGACGAGCACAGAGAAAAAACTGCATCCATGATATAGATAACATTTTCCAATACTTATATATTGAATAATTGAGTTAAAACAGGGGCAATGCTGTTTTGATTATCACGGAATTGGCAACACGACGTGGAGGTTAAAAAACAAGACCTGGAAAGTTTGCAGAAGTTGCAAGCTGTTTACGAATTGTGGTATCTAACAAAAACAAACTTTTCACTCTGTCATTATAAGCAGGATCGCTCTTCAACGTTAATTATTACAACCTTGGCGTACATCCAATGCGGTATTATCCTGTAATTTCGATATCTATGAAACTAATCTTCAATGTTTTAATTAATTATTACAACCCTGACATAACGAGATAAAAATTGACAAACAAGAGCTGATAAGTTTTCAGATGATTCATCTAATGATTTTATTACATCCATGTTAGTAAATCAAGGTAATAGCGGTATTATGCTGCAATTTTGATATCTATAAAAGTAATCTTCAATGTTTTAAGTAATTATTACAATCTTGAAATAACGAGGGAAAGATTGATAAACAAGAGCTGATAAGTTTTCAGATGATTCATCTAATGATCCTTTCACATCATGCTAGTTAATCAACGTAATAGCTGTATTCACCCTATAAAAGCTAACTTCTTTGCACATTGTTCTCTATCCGTGATTCGGTTGCAGCTTGTACGCTGAAGCTTATTACAGGAGATAGCAAAAGGTAAGAATGTATGCATGTCTGTCAGATACACTTGTACTTGTAGCAACTTGTAATGAAACCTGGCCTAGGGCAAAAAATGAAAGGGATACGGTGTGGAGCCGCGAGTACGAAGTTGAAGCAGATTTTCTGACGTCATGATCAGATAATATTTTTTGTCTTTCGGCATTTTGAGCAGAAAAATCATCTTATCATACTGCCAGAAAATCCGCTTCAATTTCGCAGTCGCGGCTCCACGCTGTCTACTTCCCGCTAAAATGACCAGGCAGCTTCACGTCTTACACCACTTGACGTCATATAACGCGCACTGCAGGCACAATCCTCCTCCGGTTCCCTTTATTGGGAATTTACATGATCAGTATGAAGATTGTCGCGTTGATTGCCAGGCCCGTAGCCAGCAATTTCAAAAGGGGGGTTCTTTTTCTGAAAAAGTGGACCTTTTCCCATAAAAAAACCCCCGGCTACGGGCCTGATTCCGTTGTCTTGATGTTTGCTCTGGGTTAGTACCTCTCAGTATTTGTGAATTGACTGAAAATCATCATAGATAGAGATATAATTTAACTCTATTTAGTTATTTCTGCAATTTTTAAACTTTTGATATCAGGCAAAGCAACGTAGAAAGACCGGCCAATGAGCTCATAAAGTCAAATATTATTTAGTTTAATGATTTCGTTATCTCTATATTATTATTTGTGCCGCACACGGTTGAGTTTTCAGTAAAAAAACTTTGCGACATTGCATTTTGAAGAGCTACTGTAGTTTGATAAATGTACAAGACAACCTACACGTTCCAGTAGTTTTCAAGGTTGCTGTTCAGGCTGTGACACAGTAAGTCCGGTTAGATCATCTTTGATTTTAAAAGCAGAGTCAGTACCTCTTTATTTTCCTAACGGTTAAGACAACCTAGCAAGTTTTAGGTCGAAGCAAACAAAAAAGCCTTGCTGAGCTTTAAAAAGCTATATTTTCCTTTAATCTGCTGTGGTCACTAGACAATGTTGCAATTTATTACAATAAATAAATCATTGAAATCTAAAGTATACTTCAATATGCAATCTTTATTGTGTAATATTCCACGTTGTGCAAACACTTAGATATTTTCAAAATAATCTTCTTGAGCGCCATTGATTCAGTGGAAAGGAGGACAATGTTTAACACTTGTGCAAACAATTGCTTGGTTGGAGCATCGGTTAAGCTGAGTAGATCTGTAGGATTGTGTCAATTTCTAGTCGGTGACTAAACTAAACTTGGAATAATTTATATTGCAAAATTGCGTATTTTAATTATAACATTTGTTAAAAAGTTGGAAACAAGTTTTCTAGAGGGTATTCTTACAGTCTAAAACGTTTTTATCTTTATCCTTTTCTTCTGAGATGCCATCAGTTGAGAGAAATGTGTAATTAAAGATGAAAAGTTTGAGAAAAAAGGAAATTGATATATCAGTATATGAGAATGCAAATGGTGTAATAATTTTACGGAGGAGTAATTATTATTTTCAAAATTGAAAAGTTTGTAAATTACTAACAATTTTATCCAAATAAACCGTTTTAAAACTGTAAGTTATATTAATAAATTGATGGGTCCAGTGGTTAAGTCGGGCTCTGCAAATGCATTGCGGGGTTTCTTTGGTATGATTTGAATATAAGTAAATGCAATACTACATGTATGACTTGGAGACGTTTTAACTCTGTCTTTTGATACATTACATCACTTTTAAATACTATATAAGACAACTGTAATAAGAAGGAGAAACATAAGCAGCTGCTAGTCAATGCAAAACATAAAGGAGGTCGTGTAATTATTCTACCAATTTTTATAGACATATTAATTTATCCATCACGACAAAGCCAGAAATACAGAACACCCAATTAAAACCTAAAATTATTATTGTACACAATTCATTTGGTCATCATTTTTCTCTGTATATAATTATGTTATTCTATTAATTTGCAGCACGCTATTGTGAATTAACGCCATCGGTATGAAGGTTGTCGCATTCCTCGCCATTGTCTTGATGTTTTCATTGGGTAAGTACCTCTGTCAGTGTTCATGAAGTGGTACTGGGTAAGTACCTCTGTCAGTGTTCATGAAGTGGTACTGGGTAAGTACCGCTGTCAGTGTTCATGTAGTGGTACTGGGTAAGTACCTCTGTCAGTGTTTATGAAGTGGTACTAGAGGAACATAAATAATATACACCATTTAACAATACTTCTTTTATTACTTCATTTTGGCATTAAGCAAAGGACACGTGTATAGTAAGGATGGGTCCAGGATTATTTGAAGGTGGGGAGGGTCCGCGGATGCAAACCCGACCCTTCCCCTTTGGCGTTGGGTTCAGGGCTCGCTGAAGGGGGGTCGGCGGAAATATTTGGTATTTTAGAGGGCGAACGGTGCCATTTGGTACGGTTTAGAACTATAATTCAGCTAGTCAAAATTCTAATTTGAAGAGGGAAACTGGTGTGATATTTTTAGAAATCGAAGGGGGGGGGGGGTCAGGACCCCCTGACCCCCCTCTAAATCCGCCAGTTTATAGCAGGTGCAGATATCAAACAGGACAATGAAGTCCTTTTTTTAGTTTTATGATGAAAATACAGCAGCCATGCTTTTCTTATTCCAGTGGTCGACCAAGCAAACGCTGGGTTTGGCTGTCCATTTGATCAGAATCGATGTCATAACCACTGCAGGTATAACACTAAACCTGACAACTGCGGAGGCTACTGCAACAGGTTCACGTGCACGTGCTACAAGTGCTAAGGGAAGTAAACAGACAGGTGAGTCTCCTTCAGTCACCATTGTTCTTGAATGATCCTGGATACATAGCCAGTAGGCTTGAGATTGGCCAACGTTACTAAAAAATTTGTAATGAAAATTTTAATGTAGTTTTATTAGCTTTCTTTAAACTTAAAGGGGCTGACTTTTTTCTCTTTTTTAGACCCGTGGCAAAATGAAATCTGGATACAAGTGCAGGACAAGTTGGAAACAAGTTTGATAAGGCTTTGTTCTATCTAATGTCATACTTTATTCTAATTTTAATTTGCAACGTGGCATTTGGGCAAATAAAGATGTCTTGAAGCAAGAGCTGATTTACTGTGTCTTACACAATTGAGTTTTCAGAAAAAAAAACTTTGTGATGTTGCATATTTGTACAAGACAGCCTAGTTTTGGAAGTAGTTATTAAGGCAGTGACACAGTCTCCCATTTATTCTCCTTTGCCCTGTTGACTTTGTGTGTGTGTGTGTGTGTGTGTGTGTTTCACTTTCCTCTCTCGTCTCTCTTATTTCTCCCTTTTTCCAATTCATGCACTCACTTAATATTGCTTTTCCATATTCTCCCTCTATCATAGTACTTCTACTGGCATTCAGTCTTTCCTATTTTATGTCCTTCTTCTCTTCTCATCTTCTGTCTCTCTTTACCACTTTTACTAACAAAAATTCTAAGTCACGAAATAGAGACAATGGATAACAGTGCTTTATTGAAAATGTACGTTTTCCCTTCTGACCTTAAAAGGAATGTTCTGAATATGTGAGGGGATATAATTGTTTAACCACTTAGGTGGGAGTCAATCTTATTACAATCTTACTTACCCTTTGATATCATGGGGCCCCTAAAATACTGTACAAAATCACACTGCACGGCGCTTGTCAAGTTTTTTTTCGTCACAGACTACTATAGAGCTCCCTGTGTTCAGAGAGTATGTCTCACTAACACACGGTAAGATCATCTTTGATTTTAAAAGCAAGGTCAATACCTTTTACAATCATTTTCTTAATAGTTAAGACAACGTAAGACCGTATTTGATCTTAAATCGCAGAATGAGACCATTGCATACACACTAGTGGTCGAACCTTTCAAACCAAAACACAAAATTTGACATTTAAAAATTCCAAGGCAAAAAAAAAAAAAAAAAAGCTTTTTGTGGTCGTTTCATTTTTTCAAACTAACTTTTGTCTGATGTGGCAGCCTAGATTCTGACTTTTTAAAAGTGTTAATTGTAGGGATTATGGAAGCGGTATTTTAGAATAATCAGTTATTTTCATACGCCATATATTTTTCATAATGTGTATTATAATGATGATGATGATGACGATGATAAGTCCATCATTTGTAATACAGTTTTATTGTATTTCGTATTATACCGTTGGCAAAAGTAACATTCTAGGATTTAGGGCTCTTTATCTACATGGGAAATTTGGACGTTTGAAATCTTTGCTGAATTGAATTATGCAGAAATTGATAAATAAAACATAAGTGGATTCTAGGTAAATGAATTTTGGTTATTTGGAGCCCACGGCACAATAAGAATATAAGGAGTGTGTAAAATTTTTGCGTTTCTGTAACTTAAAAAAACTCTTAATATGTGCTACTATATGCATAAATACAAAAACAAGAACTTTCTGCACTAAAAGTGACGGTAGTGGCAAATTTAAAGATCAAATATTAATCACAATTCAGTCGCATAATCTTTCTTCTTTCGCTGCGTTATTTCTGGACACAAAAATATTTATAAAGGGAAATTCACTTACACAATGCAAAAAAAAAAAAAAAAAAAAAAAAAAGACAATCTCACAGGACTAAATACAGACCGAGTCAGTTATCCAGACAGTATTTAATATGAAAAATTCCTGAATTTTCAAAGAAGACTCATGTCTGGAGAAGACTGGATACTTCAAGCTTTTATAAAACACAATAAATGTAGCGTAAGACATTCCTCCCAGGATAACCAACATCTTATTCATGCGGGACAATCTCACAAACAGACGTTAACAGGTTGTTAATATTGACTAAGAATATTTATGAATATAATAATTTTATAATAATTCTAATAACGTTTTCGTTGCATTGAACATAAGATCAATTACGACCAAAAAGCCAACACTGTAGTGGTGGCGATGCTCTCCAGGCTGTCTGCACCGTCACTGTTATTTCCAGATTTAACCGAAATAACTCCGTATGGGCAACGGGAGTTCCAGTCTGTTGCTATTATTTTCATTATTCGTCAAATCATGTACCCGGTAAACAAGTGCAATGATTTATTCCCAAATTGTTTCTTCCAATCGTTAGAGTCACATTTATCCTATGATGGTTTTACAGGTAGTATAGTAGTCGTACAGAGGGCAACCTAACAGGTCTGCTCGTAGAGTGATATGGTTGTGGAAACTGACCGGATTAATTCTAACGTACCTGGCCACTACAGGGGGGTCAAGATAACGCACCTGGGGGACGAAGGGGTGCCAGTTACCTTCAAACACCTGGAAATAAGACAAAACTTTAGTGATATCACTAGGGACGTCACTAGAACAGGTTGCAGATAATTTAAAGAGCCAAAAGAACGCGGAAATATTTTTATCAGTGTTCAATCAAACATCACCTGCTGAAGACTTTTGTCTACTCTGGTTTAGCCCTAAGCCCTGTTTTTTTCTGGACAAATCTGTGGTGGAATTATAAAATAAGGTAACCGCTTGCCCGGAGCAAAACTGTTTATACATTCTTTAATATAGGGGAGACCGGGGCTAGTAGGACCCTGGGGTAATTTGGAAAAATACCTACGAGGTTGGACTACAAATTAAGCAAAGATTCTCAAAATCAATTAAATATGAATAAATGCGTAAAAATACATTTTCTGATACATTATTTAAGTATATGGTGCCACCTTGCCCCGACCCTGGGGCCACGTGGCTCACAATTTGACAAAAAAAAAATCATTTCAGGTGGGCCAACTAGCCCCTGTCTCCCCTAGTCTCAATTCGTTATTTACGGGGACAACCACATTTTACTCTTGGGTCAATTAAAGAAAAGATATTTGTCACTTTCACCTATGTCTTACCTCCTGCCTTAGAATAGTTTGTTATCATAACTCAAAATTAAGTCAAGGGGTCATTAGGTCAATAAACCATTACAAAATATCTTTTACTGATTGACGAAAGCATTTCCACGCCTATTTTGCAGGGGAATCCTCCACCACTGGCTTCAGCCTGTTGCAGTCTAGTTATTATTATTATTGAGAAGAAAACTTCTTCCATGTCATGGCTCCTTAAACAATGTCATGTAATGTAATAAATCAGTGGCCGATAGACACTGCCATTGTTATTACTATTATTTTTGTTATTATTCTATACCATGGCTCCTTAAACAACGTCCTGCAAGATATCAGATAAGCAGCTGGTATATGCCTAAAACAAATTGTTGAATCTGATATCAAACGGCGCAAAACTGTTTTCAAAAGATATGTTATAAGTATGCCAGGTTCCCTCCTCAAGAACTGAGAATTAAATAGAAACACAAAAAAGATAAATAAATAAATAAATAAATAAATAAATAAATAAATAAATAAATAAATAAATAAAGGATAATCGACTCATAAATATCATGAAATAGTTTTGACGATTCTCGCAGTGTGAATCTCCATTCAGAGGTAATAAATTTATCTATGTGAACTCTCTCTTTCTTTCTCTCTCTCTCAAGTTAATAAAAAACTAACGATAAGACACCCTAGCTTAATGACACGTTAAATGTGTTAATGACAACATTAATGTAAATTACACCTCATTATAACTTAACATTTTACACCTTTGTGGTGTACATAATAGCAAAACTATGATGCAAATTAAAGTCAAAGACCTTGAATTTCAACTTTAAAGAAATAAATAATGCCAGTGAACGACCAAAACTGGCATGATTCATATAATTCTTTATTGATGGTTTTAACACTTAGGTATTATCTTTTCATTTTAAAGCTGTACATCCTTGCCATAGTTATACAGAAGTTGACTATTAAGCGTCCTCTGCAGATGCAAGCCGAGCCATTAAGGCACCAGTTTCACGTATCCCAGTTGTAAAAACTGGCGAATAATGGAAGATGCCGATGGATTTCAACATCATTAACAAATGAGAAAGAAATTAAGTCTTTGAGTATTTAATTTTGCATTCAATGTTACAACGCATTTTCTTGTCACTATTATACCATGTTATATTGTATTTATTTAATATTTACGCCCAGATTACAAACTTTAAATTGTGCATTACAGTTCACCTACATTTTGAGAAGTTGTATCCACAATTAGAGGTGTAGTAGCAGTCGTACAGTACATGGTTTCATTAATGTAGTCCTCAGAAAGAACCAAGGGATACGCTTTTTTGTGCTTTTTAAAGTCGACTGTGCCAGTACTCACAGCCAGGACTGTGTGCATTACGAAGGTGCACGTATGACAGGATGACGTGCATGTATTTAATGTACTTCTATGGTGTGACGAAGTCGTTGTCTTTATATTTTGCTGATGTTACGCGAGGTAGCAAATACAACCCAGGTATTATCTTCCTTATCATTTATGGAACTACTGTCCAGTGTTGCCCGCGCCGCTTTCTTCATTTCTATTTCTACCTCATGCAATCTCTAGCGGCCTTCTCCCCCGTTTACATTACGCGCAGTTGTACATGTATAAAAAATAAGAGCATGTCAATCAACTCAAGTTACTCTACCAAACACTCCCCGCTCTTATTCACTGCATGCTGTCACTTACCGGTACTAACATTGCATAGGTTAAAGCGCTAGTCTACCCTGTTTGCATATTTTCTCATTTAACTGTTCAGTTACAGCTTACACACCAAAGCATATTACAGTGAATCAAAAAAGGTAAGATGTGTGCAATTCTGACAGATACATGTACATATACATGTAGCAAATTGTAATAGAAACTAAAGCCTCGGTCATAACTGGACGTACGGGCTGCTACGTGTGGTCTACGGCTAAAAAGATAGGGAAAACGTAGGAGTTCGTGCGTGAGGAGCACGTCCATCGTGCGACTTTTGAAGGACGCAAACAGCACGTAGACACTTTTCGACATGATCAACAGCCGCTACGTGCGATCTAGCTACGTCCTAGCCGGACGCAAGGAACCTAAAAACCGTGCGTCCAAAACGTAGTTGGGACCTAGGCTAAAGGAAGAGGAAAGATTGCAACGGAAAGGCACAAGTATGCCTTGCGAGTCGTAAAGCTAATTGCAAGGTGCTATAACTGTGGAAATTGTAATTTCTTCAGTTTATATTGCTACTTGCGCACGTGGCACGCACTCACAACTTAT